TGTTTCAGTAAGCTGAGGGAGGGGTGTATTGATGGTGTGGAGGGGTGTATTGATGGTGTGGAGGGGAGTATTAATGGAGTGGAGGGGTATTAATGGATGGAAGGGGGGTATTAATGGAGGGAGGGAAGAGGGGTATTAATGGAGGGAGGGAAGGGGGGTATTAATGGAGTGAAGGTGGAGTATTAATGGAGTGAAGGGGTTATTAATGGTGTGAGGGGGTATTAATAAAGAGAAGGGGGGTATTAATGGTGTGAGGGGTATTAATGGAGTAAAGGGTGGTATTAATGGAGTGAGGGGGTATTACTGCTGTGAGGGGGTATTGATGGAGTGAGGGAGGGGGGTATTGATGAAGTGAGGGAGGCAGGTATTGATGGAGTGGGGCTATTGATGGAGTGAGGGGGGTTGATAATTTTGGGAGGTAGGGAGGAAGTGCTGGTAAGGAATTAAATACCTTTTTATAGCTCCCTGGTGGTCTGTTGGCCATAATATCCGGTCTGCAGCTCCACAGACCTGCACACCATGTATCTTGCGAGATCCAGTCAGAGCGTTGCCGTGGTAACCCACGGCAACACTCTGATTGGCCAGGTCTAGCAAGACACATGGTCTGCAGCTCTGCACATTGCGGAGCTGCAGACCCGTGTCTGTGATTGCCGCTCTCTGGCCGGGCAGACTGGAGGGGCCTCACAACCAGCGGCATACAGAGCAAGCCGCCGGTGCCACTGCTGGTGTCGGGTCCTCGGTCACTGACCGAGGACCTGACACAGTCTGTCCTAAGGTGATTTAGGTGGCTGTGAGGCCCCAGACGGCTGCCTAAATCGCCTAATTAGCACCCGGTATTAAAACAGTGATTATATTAAAGCAGAAGTGCAAGGCAAGATTGAACTGAATATGTATATATGTGTGTAAAATATATATATATATATATATATATATACACACACACACAACCCATGGGTCCCCGGTTCGAAACTGATCCATGGGGCCCCCCCTCTAACTCCCTCCCCATACACACACGACACATACATACAAACAGACCAGCACACATACAGACAGACAGTCACACATACATACATACAGACAAACAAACAAACAGACAGGCACACACATACACAAGATACATACATAAAAACAGACACACACACACATGACATACATACATACATACATACATACAAACAGACAGGCACACACATACACAAGATACATACATAAAAACAGACACACACACATGACATACATACATACATACAAATAAACAGACACATACATATACAAGATACATACATAAAAACAGACACACACACCCATGACAAACATACATACAAACAGACAGGCACACACAAGACATACAGACAGACACACAAGACATACATACAAAGACACATACATACATAAATACAGACAGACACCTACATACATACATACAAACAAACAAACATACACATAATATTTAAGTCACCCTCCTGTTTCCTACCTTTTTAAGTGCAGGAGGGTGACTTTCACTGGGATCCAGTGGTGGCTCAGGTTGATGGGAGTCAGAGTTCCTACTCTGACTTCCTCTGCTTCCTGCCGCGCGGGCTCTCAGTGATAGCTGGGATGAGTGACGGAGAGTCACTTCCTCCCAGCGTGTGATGATCTCAAAATGATGCAGCGCTGACCGGGCCCCCTGAAAATCCAAACCCATCGGGTGGCCCTGACAGCATGGGCTACCCGATGAGCACCTTAAAATGTGGCCGCGGATGATGATGGCAGGGACCTGGTCGCAGGGGTCTGCAGGGGGGCCGGGCACAGCTGCGACCCCTGCGACCGCTATATGTACGCCAGTGTACACATACACATTACATGGCACAAGAACTTTTGGGGCTGGCATACATTTTTTTTCCAGGGCTGCTTTGAATTCCCAGTCTGGCCCTGGTGGGAACCTACCAGGAATTGGAGGAATACATGTGAGCACATAGCTCACAGGGGCCTTGAAGACAGGCCTGTCCCGCATGGATCCAGGATTTCATATCCCACACAGCACAGTCCACTCTGACGTTTAGAGCTGTGACTTGACTGAGTGACCAGAGTCCCCATGGAGCAGAAGCACCCTAATGTACAGAGTTCCTACACAGTTCGAGACTTACCTATGGCTTCCACCGGGCGATGCAAGTTATTTTTCCCTTTCTCAGTTTTATTTTTGTTGTTCTTTTATCTCCTCACCACAGACTTCAACACTGCTCATTAACTTGAACTTGTTTTTCAAGTTACCCAGTCTGTGGGGCAATGTAGCCAAATTTTAGCTACCTATATAGCTATAGGAGTGATGGGAGTTTGAGCGCAGGACTTGCTTTTTTGTATTTGTATTCATCTAGATTATAGGCTATGCAACAGGGTACACTGACAGAAGGGGGTGATTGACCATATGGACGATGTACTTTGACCAGCCCTCTGGAATGTAATATCTATTCCTAGGACTCTATGGCCTCTACATATAAGTTATAATTATATTGTTTTTCTTCTTATTTATAATAAAAACCCTCACTCCATATCATCTATAGGGTAACAAGTGTAGACATCACCCAATACCTTTGCACTCTTGAATGCCTAATGGTCATTAATATGCTGAAAACCTTTCTCTGTGCTGTTTTGCCTGCTTGAATATGTTATACTCACATGTGGAGTGTGCAAAATAAAGAATAAAAAAATAGAAAAAACTGCAGGGACATGCTGTAGACACCAGAACAACTACATCAAGCTGTAGTTGTTTTGGTTACTGTTGTATCCTTTTAATTATTCTGATGCTTTAGAACCAAAATGTTTAGTGCTCTATTCCTTCTTTACTAAATCCCTTGGTTACCTAGCCTGTACCAGACTTTTTAAGTACAATCTTTGTCATCTTTACGTTACCTTCCCTGACCAAGCCAACTTCTCTTTGTTTACACCTTGGTTTCTTAAAGGACCACTATAGTGCCAGGAAAACATACTCAGGGACCCCCTCCCGCCCGGCTCTGGATAGGGGAAAGGGGTAAAAACCTTTTTCTAGCGCTGGGCGGGGAGCTCTCCTCTTCCGATCCTCCTCCTCTCCGCCCATTCGGCTGAATGTGCACGCGCGGCAAGAGCTGCGCGCGCATTCAGCCGGTCGCATAGAAAAGCATTTACAACGCTTTCCTATGGACGCTTGCGTGCTCTCACTGTGATTTTCACAGTGAGAAGCACGCAAGCGCCTCTAGCGGCTGTCAATGAGACAGCCGCTAGAGGCTTTGGAGGAAGGCTTAACCCATTTATAAACATAGCAGTTTCTCTGAAAATATGTTTATAAAAAACATGGGTTAACCCTAGCTGGACCAGGCACCCAGACCACTTCATTAAGCTGAAGTGGTCTGGGTGCCTAGAGTGGTCCTTTAATTTGTGGCAATTAAGCCACCACCTAAAAAACTTCAGGACCTCCTAGAAGGTTAGGATTGCAAAGGTCTATTGTTTTCTGCAACTGGGTTCCATAGCTCAAACATACAATAAACTGTAGAGGTTATAGGGATTGGAGTGTCTCTGTAAACTCTGTCAATTTGGATAAGTGTGCCAAATTTGGTAATTTGGCCAACATTTTACAATGAAGCTTTCAGCTCACCACAGCGTCCAGAGCAAAGTGATGAATGTAACGGAGGATTGTTCAGCTCTGCTTTATTACCCTTACTTGCAGAGAAATTTACCTTACAAGCAGTGAATGGTAGGGTTTTTAAACAACTGCAGAACTTAAGCATAGACGTAAAAAAAATCCATTATATTGACCTTTAAAAAAAATTAATTTATAAATAGATGGGTCTGCATACCCAAACCTACCAGTTTCCAAATCCTTATGCAATGGTGCAAAAAAGGCAATCTGAATACCAATACAAAAATAAATGCAGGACATAGTAAGGATGGAGCACTGGTAATGATTCACTGGAATGTTTTTAAAAAGGTCAGAGAATCAAAGCTACTACTGTTGTCCCAACAAAGAGGAACTATTTCTAACTCATGGTGTCTACATTATAGCAAGTGTAAATACACCTGGTGACAAGAATATTTCCTCCATATAGTGGAACCAGTATGCTACGTTGCAATAAATAATTTTTCTTTGGCTAGCAATAGATGGAGGAGAAATAGCAGTTGAAATTTCTTGACGGTGATGACTCTGTCATCTTTACATAGTTACATAGCTGAAAAGAGACCTGTGTCCATCAAGTTCAGCCTTCCTCATATTTGTTTTTTGCTGTTGATCCAAATCCTTTCATCTACTTATAGTATGTGACCATGGGAAGTGTGTCCATTCCATCCATGGCATCTCACCTGGGCTCAATTTCCACCCAACCTTCACAAAACGTGATTTTTTTTTTAGAATTTAAGATTTTAATGTTTTGATATACAAGACTGCTGTATTTAATTATCAGAATTTGCCATACTGATAAGAAATACAGTATATTAATCAATACTGTATTTCTGTTCATTGTCTTTGTATCCACACTGTACAGCAAACATGTCAAAAATGCGGCCCACAATGAATATACTTGCGGCCTGCCTGCCCTGCGGCCGCTTTGTGCTGTGGCTGCGACCAGCCGCAAGGTGGGAAAGATATTTTCTGTTTCTTGTCTTCCCTCCCACAGCCGCAAGAGGGGAGAGTGTCTGTCTGCAGAGCAGTGCCAGAGGAGAGTATTAGAGTGGTGTGAGGGGGGTCAGTGTGTTAAATTGGGGGAGGGCAATGTATTAATTTGGGGAGGGGGGCAGTGTATTAAATTAAAGTGATGGGAGTCAGGGCAGTGTATTCAATTAGTGGGAGGTGGTGATGAGGGGGAAGTGTATTAGAGCGGTGGGAGGGCACAGTGTGTTAAATTGGGGGAGAGGGCCAGTGTGTTTTTTAATTGGGGAAGGGCAGTGTATTAAATTGGTGGCAGGAGGGTGCAGTGTATTAAATTAAAGTGGTGGGAGTGAGGGCAGTGTATTCAATTAGTGGGAGGTGCAAGAGAGTGTAACCTCCAGCGTTGCTCAACTCCCCGTAGGAAAGCATTGAAAAGCCACGCATGCGCGTTAGGTCTCTGCGGCCAGCGGGATCAGTCTCGCCCACCTGCCAACGTAATGGAGAGGAGGAGCGACGGCAACCCGAAACCACCGCCGAGGGACATCGGCGGGGGTCTCAGGTAAGTGACTGAAGGGGTTTTCACCCCTTCAGCAACTGGGGATTGGGAGGTGGGAGGGAGAGGGGACCTGCAGTGCCAGGAAAACAGATTGTTTTCCTGGCACTGGAGAGTCCCTTTAATAGTGTTGTATAGTTGTAATTAATGGTAAATTTTAAGGCTGGACAAAAGTGGTAAGTGGTGTCCCTCAGGGTTCTGTTTTGGGACCACTTCTATTTAACATATTTATAAATGATCTTAAAATAGGCATTGAAAGCCATGTATCAGTGTTTGCAGATGACACAAAACTTTGTAAAGTAATAAAATGTGAGCAGGATATTGCTTTGCTGCAGAGAGATTTGGATAGATTGGGGGACTGGGTACTAAAATGGCAGATGAAATTTAACATAGAGAAATGCAAAGTTATGCACTTCGGGGTTAAGAATGCACAAGCAACTTACACACTTAATGGTAGTGAATTAGGGATAACCACACACGAGAAGGATTTGGGAATTGTTATAGACAACAAATAAGGCAGCAATATGCAACGTCAATCTGCAGTTGCTAAGGCCACTAAGATTTTGTCATGTATAAATAGGGGCATAAATTCTCAGGATGAAAATATAATTTTGCCTCTTTATAAATCGCTGGTAAGACCACACCTTGAATATGCTGTGCAATTTTGGGCGCCTGTTCTAAAGAAGGATATCATGGCACTGGAGAGGGTCCAGAGACGAGCTACAAAATTGATAAAAGGAATGGAGCATTTTAGTTATGAAGAAAGGTTAAAAAAATTAAATTTGTTTAGTATGGAAAACGGCGCCTGAGAGGGGATATGATAACTTTATACAAATATATTCGGGGCCAGTACAAACCTTTATCTGGAAATCTATTCATAAACAGGGCTATACATAGGACACGAGGTCACACATTTAGGCTGGAAGAAAGGAGATTTCATCTAAGGCAAAGAAAAGTTTTTTTTACAGTAAGAACAATAAGAATATGGAATTCTCTGCCTGAAGAGGTGGTTTTGTCAGAGTCCATACAGATGTTTAAACTGAAATTGGATAAATACTTACAAAAACATAACATACAGGGATATAATTTCTAATTAGTGGGGTAATAGCTGCTTGATCCAAGGAGACATCTGACTACTATTTTGGGGTCAAGAAGGAATTTCTTCCCAGTTTGTGGCAAAATTGGAAGCGCGTCAGACCAGGTTTTTTGCCTTCTTTTGGATCAACAGCAAAAACATTTGTGAGGAAGGCTGAACTTGATGGACACAAGTCTCTTTTCAGCTATGTAACTATGTAATTCATAGGTGTAAGAAAAAAATAAGATATACACGCACATGTTTTTGAGCTCATGATGACTCCAATCTGATAGCTTAACTCCTTCAGGACGCAGGACGGTTCAGGACCGTCCTCGGCATTTTTGCGTTGCCGACCGAGGACCTTCCTGAACCGTCCTAACGGAAAACGGGCGGCGGGAGCGATCAGAGATCGCTTCCGCCGAAATCCCATTGTTACTATCTGCCCGGTATCCCAGGCAGATAGTAACAGCCAATTGCGGCATGTGAGCGATCCGCGATCTCTCACAATTGGCTGGTGTCAAAATGGGTGTTACAAACAATGCTCACTTTGACACTGATCTCTGCCTCTCTCCCCTCTGTAGCGTTTTGTGAGAGGAGAGAGACAGAGATCGTGATATATTGTTGCAGCAGCTGTTCCAGAGAGTTTTCAAAAGTATCTGCAGTGAATAAAAATCCCATTTTAACCCCTTCCCTGCCAGATCTGTTACAGACAGTGCATTTGTACAGTCTGTATTTTTTTTTTGCCCTTAAGGGTTAACTTTATTTTAAAAAATCTGTGTCTTAGTCTGTCGTAGTCTGTTTTAGTCTGTCGTAGTCTGTCGTAGTCTGTCAGTTTCCTTCCCCCAAATCTCCATTAGATTCTTCTAACAGGAGTTAGTTTAGGGATTACTGTTTTAGTCTGTTTTAGTGTTAAAAAAAAAAAAAAAAATTGTATTTAGTATTTTGTTAGTTTAGTCTGTTAGTGTGAAACATGCAGCGCATGTACAGCTTGGAGGAGGCATATGCCTTCTTGGCGTCAGACTCTGACGCCACTGACACTGCGTCCGATTTTGACCCAGGTCAGTTTAGTGGCACGTCTAGTGACATGTCATCTGTGTGTGAGCCAGCTGCTAAAAGAAGCTGTGCTTCCCCTGCTACGCTGAATGTGGAGGAGGACTGGGTACCTCCACAGTTAGCTGAGCCCAACATCCCCCCTTTTAGTGCCAACGCAGGCATTAATGTGAATGTGGTTGACTTCTCCCCTATACAATATATGGAGTTATTTTTAGGGGATACCATCTGGGAGGAGATTGCTTCCCAGACTAATTTATACGCTAGCCAATTTATTGAGACCAATCCAGGTAGCTATACAGTCAGGGAGCATGCTTGGCATCCCACAGATGTCCCTGAACTTAAAACATTCTGGGCTCTTACCATGCTCATGGGGATAATAAAGAAGCCATCAATCCGCTCGTAATGGAGCACCAACCCAATTTGTTCGATTCCTATATTCTCCCAAACAATGCCTAAACCAAGATATGAGCTGCTGCTGAGATACTTACATTTCAACGACAATACGCTCTGTCACCCCAGAGATCACCCCCAATATGATAGGCTTCATAAAATACGCCCACTGGTAGACCATCTTCAGAACAGATTTTCTGAAGTTTATACTCCCCAACAAACTTTATCTATTGATGAATCCCTTATGAAATACAAAGGGAGATTAGGGTTCAAACAATATATCCCCTCAAAGCGGTATGGCATTAAAGTGTACAAACTGTGCAAGAGCGAAAGTGGCTACACATTTGCCTTTCGTGTATACGAGGGGAAAGATGCTCAACTGAACCCTCCTGGCTGTCCTGACTCTCTGGGGACAAGTGGGAAACTTGTTTGGGACCTACTGATCCCCTTGTTCAATAAGGGTTACCACCTTTATGTGAAAATTTTTACAGCAGTGTCCACTTGTTTAAAATTCTTTATAGTTTACAGACACTGGCCTGCGGCACTGTAAGAAGAAATGCCAAGGATTTCCCCAGACCTCTCATAGAGGCCAAATTAAAAAAAGGGGAATGCAAAGCTCTGTGCAAAGCTGAACTGCTTGCGCTAAAATTTAAGGACAGGAAGGATGTTCACATGCTAACAACCATCCATAACGAAGGCATGTCAGACGTCTCTGTCCGAGGCAGGGTACAGACAAAACCGGTGTGCGTCAGGGCTTATAACAGGCACATGGGGGGTGTTGATTTGGCTGATCAGCTGATGCAGCCATAACTTATCTTAAGAAAGACAAAAGCCTGGTATAAAAAGGTGGCTATCTACCTGTTGCAAGTAGCAACACATAATTCATATTTACTTTTTTTTTTAAATGAATCCAGGAAGAACCACCTGTCTCCAATTTCAGCTCAAGCTGATTTCCACAATAATTTATGGAGATGGTCAAGTTCCAACGACGGTGCAAGAGGAGTCTAGACATTTTATTTTTAAGATACCGCCAACACCAAAAAAAAGAAACCCCCAGAAACGTTGCCGGGTCTGTTATAAAAAAGGGAAAAGGACAGACACCCCTTTTCACTGTCCCGATTGCCCTACAAAACCTGGACTGTGTATTGGAGCATGTTTTAAGGTCTACCACACAGAAAATAAATTTTTATAATACTTGTTCCTGATTTATTTTTTTTGTTTATTTTGAAAGCAGCAAATTTCTGTTAGTCAATATCCTTCCCCCAAATCTCCAGTTAGATTCTTTTTGCAGGAGTTAGTTTACAGATTGCTGCTAACAGACGTTTTAGTCTCATTTAGTCTGTTTTTATCAGTTTTAGTCTATTTTTAGTATAAAAAAAAATAAAATAAATTGTATGTTAGTAACTCTGTGTTAGTCAGACTCTGACGCCACTGACACTGCGTCCGATTTTGACCCAGGTCAGTTTTCTGACATGTCATCTGTGTGTGAGCCGGCTGCAAAAAGAAGCTGTGCTTTCTCTGCTACGCCGAATGTGGAGGAGAAACAGGTTTCTCCACAGTTAGCTGAGCCCCAAATCACCCCTTTTAGTGCCAACACAGGCATTAATGTCAATGTGGATGACTTCTCCCCTATGCAATATATGGAGCTATTTTTAGGGGATACCATCTGGGAGGAGATTGCTCCCCAGACTAATTTATATGCTACCCAATTTATTGATACCAATCCAGATAGCTATGCAGTCAGGGAGGAGTGTGCTTGGCATCCCACAGATGTCGCTGAACTTAAAAAATTCTGGGCTCTTACAATTCTCATGGGGATTATAAAGAAGCCATCAATTTGCTCTTACTGGAGCACCAACCCAATCTGTTCTAGTCCAGTGTACTCTCAAACCATGTCTAGAACAAGATTTGAGCTGCTGCTGAGATACTTACATTTCAATGACAATACCCTCTGTCACCCCAGAGATCACACCCAATATGATAGGCTTCATAAAATACACCCACTGGTAGACCATCTTCAGCACAAATTTACTGAAGTTTATACTCCTCAAAAAAATGTATCTATTGATGAATCGTTAATGAAATATAAAGAGAGATTAGGATTCAAACAATATATCCTCTCAAAGCGCTTTAGGTATGGCGTAAAATTCTACAAACTGTGCGAGAGCGAAAGTGGCTATACATTTGCCTTTCGTATATATGAGGGGAAAGATGGTCAACTGGACCCTCCTGGCTGTACTGACTCTCTGGGGACAAGCGGGAAACTAGTTTTTGACTTACTGATCCCCTTGTTCAATAAGGGTTAACACCCTTATGTGGGCAATTTTTATAGCATTGTCAGTTTGTTTCAAACTCTTTAGGGTTTCTAGATACTGGCCTGTGGCCGTGTGAGAAGATATGCCAAGGATTTCCCCAGACCTCTTATAGAGGCCAAATTAAAAAAAAAGTGAATGTAAAGGTCTGCACAAAGCTAAAGTGCTTGCAATAAAATTTAAGGACAGGAAAGATGTTAATATACTAACCACCATCCATGACGAAAGCATGTCAGACGTCAC